CCGAAGGGCAGGGCCAGGCGGCCAGAGGCCAGGGACACATCTTGCACAGCACCGTGGGACAGCGCAGCACTGCGCAAATACCCAGACCAAAACTGGCACACACAGCAGGAAGGACGGCAAGTGAAAAAGCACTGCCTGGTATCAACGAGTGGCAAATACATCACTACTAGAGCTGCCCGAATGTACGAGGAGAGCCTTACACCAGCTACAGCACACCCCTGCATTGCAAAATGTATAAAGCATGCAACCCATTGGGTTGACATCTTTGTCAATAAACAGCAGGACATTGTGGAGGAGGAATCCTACTGAGTCTGCACAAAAACTCTTGGAAGTTTAAATCAGGTGTAAACGACACTTTCTTTATGGGGAAAAAAAGAAAGCCCAGTTAAAGTGGCTTTTGAGAAATACTTCATTTAGGCTGCCAGCATCTTGATCTCTCCTGCAAGGCTAGGGCAATTCAACACTTCACTGACATTAGTGGACGGTTCACCGGCAAACAAGAAAACCACCAGCTGAACAGTACCCCGCGATTGCAGCTGTAAATTTTACACGTTTGCAGCATGTCCTCACACACAGGGAGGGCTGATCTGTTACTCCTCACGGTATTCTTCTTGCACAGATAAACCAGGGACTTGATATCTATGATTACACAGAGACATGAAAGTACTGCCCAGGTTTGAGTTCTCTCACATCCCCGTAATTCAGAAGCATCACTACTGTGGCAAGCAGAGCTAAACAGGAGGTAAAGGGATTTAACTCAGACGAGAACCACGTCCTTGTCCGAGGCACTGCAAACTGTCAGCCAAAGGTCAGACCCGACACATCAGCCTTTCTTTACAAGTCGCAGGCCTCAACCTGCGCTGCTGTTCACAGTCACAGCTAGGAAACCCAGCAGGGCAAATTCAGGAGCTCAGGATGAGTCCATCGGGGATGGCCTCATCCCCCTCTAAGCTTGGACTTCATTTTTATCTTTATACCACAGAAAGACGTTTCTTCCATCATACTGCTGCCCACACCTCCTCTCAACAGAGTAATCTGGTCACGGGATTTATGAGCTTAAAGCAAAGAGGTTTGTGGAACAGTCAAAATAGCTCCTAAGGACAGCTAACTGGATTAGACAGCTAAATAACTGTAACTGTGCCGGCACTTCTGCAGCCGACTTGGTTAAAAACAATTCTCTCAGGACACAAACTACTTGCTCCTCACACACTGTAAGCTCAAAGGTGACCTGAGAGATCAAGCTGACATGTTGCCATATCCACAAAGGTTTGGATCTGATTTTAGGCAGGAGTCACTTTCTGCAGAGTGGCAAATTAGACAATTTTTGATTCCCATTTTACCAAAATAGCCACAAAAAGTCTTACTTAAAACATACAATGACAAACTTAATGTACATTCATTTAACATTTACTGCAATAAATAAGAGGCAAGAATTTCCAAATTCTTCCTATTTCATAGCCCTCCTCTCACCTGCATTTCAGTGTTGCTGCCACACAGAACTGCAGACTGTCCTGGTCAGTACAGATTACACACACGCAGCCTCGTGCAAGTTGCAGGCTGTGTCCACACAGAGGCAATGGAGTTCCAAAAGTCCCTTTGAGAACTGCAAAGAAAAATCCTGAGTATTGGGATGTACCAGCAAAAAATAGGTGAAACACTTAAGTGTACAATCAAGCAAGGACTTCTCACCAGATGGCATTGAGTTTGATTTTTTTTTTTTTTTTTTTTTTTTTTTTCCCCCAGTGCATTACAGATTACAGCCTCAGGAAATCAGCACCTGACAGGAGAGCCCAGGTGTGTTTGTTTCTATCCATCCTTCAACATCTCTTCAAAGTTCTTATTTCCACCCAGGGCCTGTCCTGGTGAGAGCTGAACACTACCGAAAATGCAGAGGCCCTTCCTTACACACCAAGCACGAGCTGAATGTCTTTGGAAAGCCTTCACTCGCTATTTACGGTTTGGAATCCTCATGCTTCAGAAGCTGCCAAGCTAAATTTAGGAGTCCAGATGAGCCTATCAACCTATCCCCCTCTCCTCCTCCATTCAATGTCAAGGGCATCACGAATACGGCTAGTGGCCACGACTCCAAGCAAACACAGCCACAGCACCAGCAATAACACAGCAGAAACTCAACTGCTCACTTTGTTACTCACATGAAAATAAAGGTAATGCTTGGAAGGGGCTAAGCCTTCCCATGGTTTTGCTAACCCGGCAGCAAACAGAAATACTGAGTCAAACCACACTCGCTCCTTCTACTGGGAATTTGGAGTGTGTTTTTCAGGAATGCAGCTGCAACAGTGATGGCATTTGCCGCATGATGGTGCTTCCTGCCTCCAGGAGGAGGAGGAAGCTGCGTGCCTCAGTGCACAGAAGGGTACACGCTGCTCACAGGTTAATGCCTCATGTGACAGAGCCTCTGTCCAGCACGAGCATCCCTGGGGGACACCCTGCATAAGGGTGACATCCCCATCGTTAAAGAAAGGGATTACACCCGCACTCACGGCCAAGGACTTGAGAACTGTGTTTCTCATGCCCAACTCTCCCCATCTACATCATAAAGGAAAGAGGAGGATCAAAAAGGGAAACAGCCTCTGCATTTACCAAAGAGGGGTAATAGAGATAATAGGGGGTGAAATGAAACTGAGCATCACTTGAAAGAGGAAAATAAAATGGTGTCTTAATTTTTGCCAAGAGCTTTTGAATCCCCAAGTTTGACTTGCGTGTTTAAACCTGCCTAAAGCCCAACCCTGTCTGAGCACCTTGCTCCCTCCACGCTACGCCTTGTGGCAGTGCTTGTGGGGAACCTCACTCCAGCAGCTCCCATTTGCTACTCTGCCAATTTTTTTTTTTGTCAAAACAGATTTCTTTCATGACTTCATTCCTTTCAAGTGAGCTATGGACTGCACTAAATGGCCCACCTCCTCTGTGCAGAGCAGTTAGCACAGCTCCCAACCATCATGCCTCTGCCAAAGAAGGTTTGAAACACACAGGTGATAGAGAAGAGGCCTGCAGGGGCAAGGGAGAGGGGGTCTTCCATGCAGTGCATTTTCTCCTAGCTGCCTGTGCCTGCATTTTGAGGCAGCACCTGCTCGCAGCAGTGTCAGAGCAGTTAGCTGCTGCCCGTCTGCGCTGCCTAGTCCGTTCCCAGGGGTGAGGAGGAGGCAGCTCTGCCCAGACCTGCTCTGCCCACGGCCGGCTCTGCACGGCACAGCCCATGCCTGCAGGCTGCCATCCCCTCCTCGTCCTGAGGAAGAGGTTAAAAACAAGTTCTTCAGTTACATAAAGCAAAATAAAACCAAAAAAAGCTGTGAGTGGGAGTAAGGAGAAGCAAAGCCCTGGAAGGGTGACAGGAACAGTGAAAATCTACTGCAGGCAGTGAAGGCTGGACCCCTGGCCAGCTCCTCCAGTGCCACCAAGGCTCCTGCTAGGGACGCCAGCAGGACCCTTCCTTTGCTATGTAAACACGGACATAATAAAGAGGCACATTTATGAAATACCATTTATAAAAAGCTTAAATTATGCCCAAAATGGACACACAATATGTTGCTTCACAGAGTTCGTTATTTCTGCTGACTTGAATGTTTTTCCCTTTGTTTTGCAAAGGCTCAGACAAAAATAAACAGCTGTGAATCAACAGTGCAGTGCTGGGCCCCTGCTGCGAGCGCGGCGCTTTGCTCCGCACCCACCCACGCCTCAGGTCCTGAATTTCGCAGGGGTGCCGGCAGTGCAAAGTACAGTGTTGCCGGAGCCCGCTGCCTTCGCGACACCCTGGGGGCAGCGCAGGAAGGTGGCGAGCTGCTGCTGCTTACAGCATCCTAATGCTAATAACATGCAGCAGCTTCGTAGAAGAGCCTGTCTTCCTACCCGCAACACCCCCGAGACCCCAGCTGGAGGAGGCTAATTACTTCAGTTTTCAATTCCAAGAATGAAACGGCCACCCCGTGAGCACAATCCAAGTTTAAAGCAAGCGACTGGGAAGGGCAGGGTTCTGAATGGCGTTATCTGAGCAGAGTGAGTAAAGTGCTGCTTATCACAGGGAGGAAGGCGAGAGCGAGCAGCGCAGGCAGGGGAGGGCAGAAAGCAGGGGAGCTGGAGAGCAGAAGCAACGCCAGAAACAGCCCCGCTGCCCAGCCAAGTTTGTTCTTAAATTAAACCATCCCTCTTTAAGGCTGCAATGGGGGAAAACACAAACAAACAAAACCACATTCCTTTAAACAATTTTTTGTGTCTCATAACGGTGGAGGGGCCTGTGCATGCCTGGTGGCACTGTGCAGCAAACCCGAGTTATTACGGAGAGCTGCCCCGAGGCTGCCTTCCCCAGCCGCCCAGAGGGCTGCGATGATGGGGGAGACAGGGGATTTTTAGCTACTTGTTTCCTCTCCAAGGAGGAGGATATGCTCAGTGTTTCTTAAGGAGATCTGCAACATTTGGGTGATTTTAGGAAACCCAGCCAGACCGTGTGACAGACGACCCCATTTGGTGCCTGTGCGGATCACTGGCCCGGTGCTGTGCATGAGACTCGGCCTTGGAAATGCAGCTTTTGCCCATGTGGAGAAAGCACAGCATCTAGCAAGGTAATTTCACTAGCAAATTAAATTTTCACAGAAGTCCTACAATCTATAAATATCCCAGCACTAGATCTATGCTAATAAGTAATTTACACCTGTTATATAAGATCTAAGGCATGTAATTTGCTTCTAACTATGATGAGACAGTGGATATAACTTGCGTTTTCTTGGATTATGTTCACTTAAAAATAAACAAGAAACTCCTGAGAACAAACAAACGAGAAAACCTCCTAACAGGACGCACAGGAGCAAGGGCCTTTCCCTGCAGAAAGGGCCCGGTGCAGGCAGTGCTCCACTGCAAACCCCCTCGCTGCCACGCAGCCCCGTGCAGCGGGCGGTCGTGCTCCTTCGGGAGGGCTCAGCCCTCTCCATCCCTGCTCCTCTCATCGCCATCTGCTCGGATAAGCAGCGCGAGGGTCTGCTGGGGACACGGCCAGCGCCGGGGCGGGAGCGCGGGGGCTCCAGCAGTGCGGTGGCGCGGGCAGCCGGGGCCGCTCCACGGCAGCTGACCGGCGGCGCCGTGCTAAGCAGCAGCCAGACGGGGATTGCTGCGCAGGAGCTGCCCGCGCAGCACCAGAGCACCGTGTCAGCGCTTAGCTGACCCAGGCAATAACGCAGCATCGCTAATCACCTGCAGCAGGCTGCTCTGATGTGCTCCCAGTGAAACTTGACGCTGTTCGGCAAAGACACACCTCTTCCAGGGTGTTGTGCAAAATTCTGCATTTTAACATAGGCACAGGAAATGTGAAAAGAGCCGGGCAGCACCCAGAGCAACCCTGGTAGCTAGGCCAGCGTCCACCAGCTCCGCGAGGAGCAATCAGAGCTTCCGCTGTGCTTATCACTCCAACTGTGATTTTCCAGTGCTCTGGAAGTTGCAGTGCTTTCGCTAGCAGGTTTTACAGGACTGGCATTGCTGCTCTTTCGGCAGCAGCTCAGCAGAGTTTCAGGTTTTTGTTGCCTTTTTTTTTTTTTCCTCCCCTCTCCCTTTTCTTTCATGCTTCATTTCCTGACTCTGCAGTGGGATGGGTCGATTACAAAAGATTCTCATTCCCTTTTTGGGATTGGTCTTGGCATTCGGTTTTTATTCGTCGAGGGAGAATTTCAAACCGGGTAAGTATTAAAAGTGAATCTGTCTTTAAGCAAAATGTTAAAAGCCACATTTCAGTGTTTTGCATAGAAACTGCTCAGAATAAACCATGTCTGAGCATTTATATCCTTGCTGATAATGGTGCCTTGTTCTAGCAAATATTTTAAATTAAATCAAGCAAGTAACATGCAGAAATAATTACTGAGGGAACAGGTGAGGGCAGAAGGATTCTGAAATGGAGAGGGCTTTTAATGCTCCATTTTGAAACGTGTAACAAATTTAGAAAAATGATTTTCAAGTGTTGGGTTTTAAGCTTTGACACAAAAAAAAGGAACTTGACGGGGTTTTATTACAAAATAACTGGGATGTTTAAGCCGTGCCTCAATTTTGAAAAAAATAGTTGAAAGAGTAAAGAACTTTCCTGCGTTACTGCACTCAAATTAGCAACTGCAGCTGCTCCTTTTTGCAGCTTTTCTCAGGCAGAGAGAGACACGTCCCGGAGCAGGACAGAGCTCAGCGAGCACTCACCAGGCAGCTGGGTGCGCGCAGGGGCATCACGTTTCTCTTTGTAGGGTTTGGATGAATTAAATCCCTGTGCTTTGCTCTGCAGAGATGCTGCGAGGGAAGCGAGTGATTGTCACTGGAGCAGGCACTGGAATTGGAGAGCAGATGGCTTATCACCTGGCTCGGATGGGAGCCCACGTCCTGGTCACGGCACGCACAGAGGCCAAGCTGCAGAAAGTAAATGGCAAGCTAAGCACCCGCACACGCGCACACACACACAGGCTGGTCTCATGTCACGGGCATGTGCACGTGTGCGCGTTAACTGCCCCGGCACGAGTATCAGTGTGCACGTTTCACCCGTGGGTACCCACATGCTGATGCTATCTGGGGCTTCCACGTACTCAAAAACTGATACATATTTTGTGCATAACACATGCAGCTACATTTCAACTTGCCTAGTTATGTGCACGTATTCCCGTGTACACACTGTGCACCAGCACACACACCCTCATTCCACTGCAGTGATAGATAGGCTCCCCGCTCACCCCCCATGCATGCATTCCACTGCAGGCTGCGCCAGTGCAGAGCACTTAAAGGAATATTCTTCCAGGCTCCCTTTGAAACTCAAGCAGCTCAAACCATGCTCTCGAACTCCAGCTCACAGTTTTCCGCCTAGGAACACGTTACAGTGAGCGCAGGCAGCCTCGTGCAGGAGCCGGAGCGGCGCAGCGGCGGGTCTGAGCGTGCTGTTGGTGTGTCCCAGGTGGTGGAGCAGTGCCTGCAGCTGGGCGCAGCCTCTGCGCGGTACGTGAGCGGCAGCATGGAGGACACGGCCTTTGCTGAGCACGTTGTGAAGGAGGCACAGAACCTACTGGGTAAGTTGATGGCTTGCTCCCAAGAAAACAGCAACAACAACAGAGAGAGATGGAGACAGAGAGAGGGGCACTGGGTGGGCCAGAAAAGGTTTTCCTTAAATCTCATCTTTGGGTCCTGCTCTGTGGCCCCCAGTGCTGCTCCGGGTCCTTCCTCTAGTCTTTATCAGCCCAGCTCACCCCTAACTGCCCTCTTGATTTCATCTCTGTGCCCCTGTAACATCCTGCTCCAGTATCGCAATCCTGTATTTCATCAGCAGCAGCTGTCAGTCAGCCTGGAGCAACCTTCCTATTCTGGGTATGGGTCACAGCTGCAGAAATGCAGCACTGCAGCCTGGAGCACTGCGCTCACCCGGGGCCCATGCACAGCTCCAGGGTAACCTCCCTTGTGCCATGGTATTTGTGTTTGGAGACAGAAATATAAACTCACAACGACAAGCTTTTCTGCAGCTCTCTTGTCCAGCACAAGTGAGATAAGCCAGGCCCATTTTTCTGTCAGCCATTGCCTGCATTGTCCCTGCTTCAGAGATGATAGGTCACAGCTCTGACCCCCAAAATGGATTTTCTATTGCTATATTTTGCTCCAAGTGTGTCCCTCCTGGTTTTAGCCACCCTCTGCTCAACACTAATGCCTGCTCCCCTGTTTCCAGGAGGCCTAGACATGCTGATTCTGAATCACATCGGCAAGTCGTACTTCGGTTATTTTGACGGGGATGTCGGGCACGTGCAACGGCTCCTGCAGATCAACTTCCTCAGCTACGTGGCCATGACGGCCTCTGCTCTGCCCATGCTGAAGGACAGCGGGGGCAGCATCGTGGTGGTTTCCTCCATGGCAGGTGGGTAGGGGACAAGGTAGGCGATACGAGGTTCACTGAAAAGACACCACGAGCTGATCTCATAAGCAACAAGCGTGTGCAGATGCCAAGACATACTAATGGAGCCATAACTGCCTAAACACTTTTTTTTTTTTTTAAAGGATCTTTTTTGCGTTTTCTCAGTGGTACTTGTTCTCTGATGGCATCCGATTGCCCCATCCCACTTTCTGGCTAACCGTGTTTCTAGAGGAGGATCCAGCTCCACACCTTGGTATCTAGGCTCATTAAAGCAGCAGAGCTAGTACAACCCCAGTTTTATGGAGAAAGGCAGAAATACTAATTTCTCGTTGCGTTGGCTCTCTGACTGGTCATTCATCTTGTTACTCATATTTGTCGACCCAGTTATTGACACAGAAAGCTGACTCTATTCTAACGAATTTCTGTTAGTCAGAGAGCTGAATTAATAGCAGATGTCTCCATCTCACAGCCAGCATGCTGGTTAGTCTTTTGGTGACGATAATTTAGCATCTGGAGGCAAGAGGGATCCAACTTTGCTCTGCTGCTCCCTGGGGTTTCACAGCGTCTGGCTCTCACTGCTGTGGAGCACAGACACGCTGTCAGACTTCAGACCTTAGGAGAGCTGGAAAGGATGGGAATAATTCTCTGTTGCTTAGGTGCCAGGATGTTATTTCACCAATGGTAAATTTTCTTTGGGTAAAATACATTATCTTAGGAAGAATAAAACAGAGGTTCATGCAGTACAGCTTTCTGTGCCCTAATGGAACTTAACTCTGTGTCTAGGTAAAGTTGGGTTTCCACTTACTGTGCCATATTCTGCAACTAAGTTTGCCTTGGATGGATTTTTCAGCTCCCTGAGGCAGGAATTCAGCATGCAGAGTGTTAATGTTTCCATCACGCTCTGCATCCTTGGCTTCATTAATACTGGTAAGATCCGTGCCGTTTGATCTGGCTGATTAGGAACAGAACATCACACTAAGCTCTTTATCCTGCTCTAAAGTGCTTTCACCACTGGCCCTTCCTTCCACTGCTCTTGCTGCTTCTCCACAAGCCTCCCCACACGAATGCCCTCAGCGGGACACCACCTCTCTCCCAAAGAGGAGTCTCAAAACCAACTTCTTCACCTGCTACCATAGAGGGGAAACCAACCCATGCACCCACCTCCATTTTCAAGTATATAGATACATCTACTTTTAATGAATTATTTTACCAGTTCTGATACCCACATTTTTATCAAATAACACAGCCTTCCTCAAGCCTTGCCACTGCCCATTGCTAGTTGAACCGTCCGGGAAGGGGCTGCACGCGGAGCAGAGCGAGCGCAGAGCCCTGCCAGTGTTCCCGGCTCGCCGGCCCACGCGCAGCGCGCGGGACGCGGGGCCCTGCAGCACGGCGCTGCGGGCGAGCTCGGTAACGCGTAGCGTCTGAACGCCGTCTAGACCGTCCTAGGGCAATGCCAACGTGACCAAAGTTGCTTCTGCTCTCTCGGGCTAGAGGCGGCCGTGAAAGCTACTGCTGATGTGATCCTGATGTCCCCAGCACCTAAAGAGGAGTGTGCACTGGAAATCATCAAGGGGGGAGCCCTCCGCCAGCGGGAGGTTTACTACAGATACGCTTCTACTAAAATACCCCTCTTGCTGCGGGACTGGGCTGCAGACCTGCTGGATTATCTCATCAGGAAGCACTACAACATGGAGAACTTCAAGAACAACTAAGCAACCCTGCAGCGCCTTCCTTCCACCCTCTGTCTCTCTGCTGCTTTACCCCGTGCCTGGGACATCTTGGCTCGAAGTCCCCTCGTCGAGCGCTGCCGCTGGCTTACATAGGAATACGGACTAACCGCCCCGCCACCCCCAGGACTGCCTTCCCGGAGCGTTTCCAAAGGGAAAATAAAATAACAACAACCTAAGCATGTGACTCATGCTACAGCTCCCTTAGGAAAGAAGGGGCTTTGCATGTGCCAGGTTAGGAAGGTTTGTTCTGTCCAATAGCCTCCTCTGCTGGTAGGTAAAAATATTTGCAGCAGATTATTTTATGGAATAACATGAGAGCAGTCCTCATCCCATGATCTCCCAAGGATCCAGTTGGGTTAACCATGTGCTATGGTACACGACATGAAGGAGGGGAAGTTCCTGAAGTTCCATGCTCCAACTGGTTAGACCCAATCCCTTTCCCCAAACTATGGAAAAGTAATCACATAAATCAATTATTAAATAAAATACACTAACATTACAGTCTTGTGTGCTGTGTTCCCCTCTCATCCTCCAATACAAGCGTTGTGCGTAGGCACACCTTTGCCAAAACGAGCCCCTGCCCTTCCAGCTGCTGAGAAACAAAAATCTTCCCACTCGAAGTTCTCCTGAGAATTGCTTTCTCCTGAGAATCGCTTTTCTAATCGCTTAGGAAAACCCATTACAAACCCAGCATTTCCTCTTGCCTTATCCCGAGATCTCCCGCACTCACCAATGCATGCAGAGCGAGTTTTGTCCTTTACACTCTCTCCTTGAGAAAATTATTTGCAAATCAGTTCTCCGGGTGGCCAGGCAGAAGATGAGCAGTGTGACATACACAACCCAAGGAAGCAAATGATCTTTCAAATACACTGCCTCGGCTCTTGGATCAGCTGGCAATCAGCCTCAGGGGATTACCCTAGACACAGTGTGTTTTTTAGGTATAACACATGGTGTTATCATGTAAGATAAGCAGAAAAAAGGGATCTAAAACCCAAACTTGGACATTACAGATCTTTCTGGACATCATATGGACCTGTATCACAGTGATTATCTCCAACTAATAAGTGAGGAAAGGAAGCCCTGCCTCTGCTTTGCACTCCAAAAAGCAGAAGGCAAGGCAGCTTGCCTGAGAAAGTCTGGCCTAACAGATCTCCCGTCTCCAAAGGCTGCCCTTTACAACCAGCCTGCCTCTCTGCCCAGCTTGGAGGCTCTTTAGGGCCTTTCCTTCAATGCACACGGCAGGACAAGGGTGCAGAGGAAGGGCAGGCCAAAGTAACCTCCTCCGCTACATTAACCCTTGCTGCCTTACGGGAGGCACGAAGGACACGCCTGCCCCTGCAGCTCTGCGCAGCCCTGCAGAGCTGCTGTTCGCGTCGTGTTTTGGCAGCCGGATGGGGCTGCTGCTGAACATTCGCATCCCCGAGTGCGAGTGCTGCTAGCGTTCGATTTTTATTTAGCACCTGAGAGTCTCGGAGAAGGTAAGTCACTGGAGGAGGAGAAAAAATCAAGTGCTTTAAACCACAATCAACCAGGTTACCAACAAAGGGACAGCACGGATCTATAGAGAAAAACTTGCAGTGTGCTGGGCCCTTCAAAATGCGCCCGGTAAGGCTCCGGCACAGTGCAGGGGTGAGAGCTTGCCCAGGGCAGCTTTGGCAGAGGCAGCAGCACCACGGAACCGCTCCGAGCGTGCTGCACCAGCTAGGAGCAGCGCCGAGGACCAATTCCAGCCTCTGCGGGGATCACGCGGCAAGTGCTTGATCTCAACAAATCAGTTTGTCTGAAAATATGCATTTATCCACCTTAAATGTTTAAAGCCTTTCCTTAGTTAACCCCTAGTCACTTTTAAAAGTGGTTCGCAAAAGGCACCACAGAGCTTTGCTCTCGTGCACTTCAGCTGAAACCAGGATTAAGCAGCAAATTGCACTCGCAGTTTGCAAGAGCAGCTGCACGGTACCGCACTGCAGCATTTCCACACACGGCGTCCCCGCTCGCTTCGTCTGGGAGCGTGGGCAGACCAGACCATGGGCAGACTCTGCTCCCAAGGGCTTTCGAGAACTAACGCCTCGGTCTGTGGGGCTTACGGGCGCGCGCTGGGCAGCTGATGTTCTGTGTCCTGCTCTGCAGAGGCGCTCAGAGGAACGGGTGGTCATTACAGGCACCAGCAGCGGGACAGCAGAGCACACTGCTCATCACCTGGCAGGCTCGAGGCCCCACAGCCCGCTCACAGCACAGACGGGAGCTGCCTGGGGGTCACAGGTCTTGCCGGTGCGGGGAGCTGATGGGGGAGGCCCTACCACCTTCCTCACTGCTGCTCCGGGCCGCAGAGACCTCCCCGAGCGGCTGTGCAGAAACACCGCACTCGCCAAGGAGGGGTGAGAAATCCAGGCTGGGGACATGTGGAGCAGCGTTATAGAGGGGAACCACGTGGCTATCAGGCAAAGGGGAAAGAGGCCTCAGTTCATTCTAGATAGGGAGTGAAATGAAACAGCAGGAACGCCACAGACAGGCTACACAGGACGGTCTTTGAATGGGATTTTTTTTTTTTTGGTTGATCTTTAGAAAAAGAAATCCCACATTACTTTATATCTAATTTAATTTTGTTCCTTCTCTATGTGAACATACATACAGCCCTTACCAGTGCACAGCCAGTTAAACCAACACTGCTGCATGATTTGCATTAACACAGCTTTCACTTCTCCAAAGACCTTGATGAATTTGTACCGTTCGTGACCTCACCTCAGCTGCTAAAACACACTTTTTCCAATCTGCAAGAAGCCTTAAAATAATCGCATTATTGTACTTCCCTAAGTCCTGATTCTTTACCCAGAGCAGCTTGGAGAGTTTCAGCCACAGTGTGCCACAAAAACACGCCTTTAACCAGTGCTCAACCTCCGCGTGTTGGACTCATAAAGGAAGAAAGCCCAGAAGAGAGTTGCTGGCCCCAAAAGCAAGACTGCAGCCGCCTGCATCCCAAAAGCACCCAAATGCCGTGCACCTAGCAGCCCCCTCTCCCATGCTACGAACCCAGAGCACAGACAGGAACCAGGGTTAGGCACTGCGGCTTCGACATTTCCTGTTTGAGACAGAGAGAAAAAAAGCCAGAGTAGCAAAGTGAAGCTGTTGGAACGAAGATGACAGTTGGAGCATGTTTGTGCCTGATAACCTAGCAGGCGCCCTTTCCCCGCCAAAGCTCCTCGGAGGCTGCAGAATAGGCCCGAGCTTTCCAATTTCTGTTCCTCGGCTGCGTTACGGGACGGGGTGAGTGGCTGCGGCGCCGGTGCAGGGGGACGGGGCGGCACCCTGGCCTGCCACCGGCAGCAACACGTGCCCCTTCCTCCCCAGCTTCAGTCTACGTGACCGACGCTGGGAGGTCATAACATGAACTAGCAGGACGCCTTGGTGGTGGTGGTGATTTCTGAAGTAAGAAGAGTAACAGCAAACAGAGGAAAGCAAAGATAAAGGACACTTTTTTTTTTTTTTTAAATTAGAGAGGAATACTTTGCATGACAAAAAAAATATTAATTTGTCAGGAAGGCCTCAAGACTTGGCTCAGCTTGGGGTAAGTAATGGATTGTATATATCTTTATACTTCTGCCTTGCTTTTTGTTTAACCAAATATATTATAAAAAAAAATATTAATTTGTCAGGAAGGCCTCAAGACTTGGCTCAGCTTGGGGTAAGTAATGGATTGTATATATCTTTATACTTCTGCCTTGCTTTTTGTTTAACCAAATATATTATAAAAGGTTTTCTTGGCATACACAACAAGCGGCTCTGCAGAGGTAGAGCAGAGGGACAGCAACTGAGCTTTTCCAGAGGGAAAGATTTTTTTCCAGGCTCTTGGGCACAGAAGGGAGCAAAATGTATGATGAGTAGTGCCCGGATTCAGCATGTCCCTGGGTCATTTCTAAATTACAAAAACCGGGTTGAAAACACTGTTATTGGATCAGCTTTGGCTACACATGCCTTTTATCCCAACCTACGGGGCTCACACCCAGCCTCAGGTTTAAGGGCAGTTTGCTGGGCAGATGCCCACAGCCCACGACCTGGGAAGCTGTTCGCCAAACCTGGCGTTGCCCCTTGGGCAGAGGAACAGCTTGTGCGCGAGCAAGACGGGAAAGGGCCCGGAAAACGTGGAAGCTGTGGAAAGGATGTGCTCCAGCCCCTGTAGCCCTACACTTGTTCAGCTGCAAAATGCGTTACACTAAGTAATTGCTGAATACTCAAATACTTAGTTACTTAAATTCAGTAGATTTAAGCTAAAAATGGAGACACTTCAGAAGCTATTAGGAGTTTCAAAGAACAGAATATTCAAACAAATACTAATAAATAATACACCGTCTACTCTTTCAGTAAGTGGTAAATTCAGCAGCAGCTCTGAAACCCCATTTCCCTGACGGGATGGCGAGCACCTGAAGCCCTGCACTGCTTGGCACTTGGCATGCATTTCCTGGGCTTAGGGGCAAGAACTATTCTGACCACCTTAAAAAGCCTGTGCTCATTTTGAAAGGAAGCCCCATATAAAAAGGGGACGTTATTAACATGCTAAGTGTGGCATAATCTAAGAATAAAACAAAAAAAATTAATGAGATGGTTTTAAATATATATTAAAAAAAAGTTTCATTAGATTCAATTGCTTAATTGGTTGAGACAAGATGAGACAATGAAATTGTTGCTTTTGTTTGACAATGAACAAAAGTTACCTAGGATTTTCTGAGACAAAACTTCACTTTTTTCAAGCTCTATCCTACATTACTCTGAGTCGCTAACTCAAAGCAAAGCAAGCCCTGGGGCCCCCAACAGCAGGCAGGCAAAGCGAGCAGGAGCGCAGGAGCCACCGCGGGAGGCCAAACACCTTTCGGTGTGCCGAGCCCCGCAGACGTGTTTCCATAACAAACATGGGAGGTATTTTATAAGGTTGATACTAGGAGCTCACGGACAAGAGATGCCTACAAGAAAAATCACCTTTACCCACTGGATAAGAACTGGGAAGTAATGTCTATCTAAAAATATCTCACATTTAATTTCAGAAATTATTTTCACTTGGATTGTGTCATCTTCCTTGGTTTCCTCAGGAAGGAACAATCCGAAGCGGGCAGCAGAGGAGGTGGCTATAGTTTCTGCAGTGCTGCTGGCATGATTAGCCAACCTGGAAAGACGCCACAACGGCATGGGCCGCACACAAGTGAGAGTTACGAGGAGAAATGCGAGCGGCGGCAGGAAACACGCGAGAACCTGAGGAGGCGAAATAACGTGACCACGTGCCGGCGCCTCGGAAAACGTGATAAAAAGGAAGCAGAGCAGCAGTCCCAGAGCCCCCGTCAGAGAGAGTTCCTGAGAAGGAGAAACCTAGTGACCGAAGAAAGAAACAAACCAAGGAAGCCTCTCCCTGGAGCACCAGCTCCACCGGGACAAGGGATCGAGACGCACGTCCCCTGGGAGCCCTCCTCAGGGCCAGATCCAGAGTCCCCGGCTCCACTGAAGGTAACAGCCAGCTCTCAGAGCAGGTCACTGCTATGTATTTGCTGCAGTGTCCATCAAAAGCAGTAAAAATTTCCCACCACTTTCAAGAGCCCTGGGAACCAATACAGAGCACAGACAAAAATTGCCAAGACATTAACAGTAACAGTCATTTCCTTCAGAGCTCTGAAGCTGACCAAGGTTACCCGGGCACATCTGTCCCAGCATGTTCCTCCTGGTTTCCAAATCCTGCACTTATAAACTTGAACCATTTCTCCAAGGGCAACCCCACATCTCAATTGGCAGATTACTGTTTCACAGTTATACAAATTGTTATTTTTACTTTTAAAATCAGAGCTCTAAACATTTGGCTCCCCTCCATCACCCTTCCTCAGAAAGTACACAGGAGTTAGGTGTAACGAGTCTGATGCTCATTGCATGCTACCCAGTACTCGGCTGCAAAGCAAACAGTAACCTGGAGAAGCCAGTGCTCTGAATACCACCTATAGAAAGACGCGCTGCAAAACACTCCCGTGGGAGAACCAGAGAGACTCTCTTTCTAAACTTATATCCCACGCCACTGAATAATTTCCCTAGCACGTTATGAGTTCACAGGGGCTTCACTCATGTGAGCAGCCAGAGACAGCAGAACGCAAGGTAACTGCAAAAGCATGGACACACCTCAGGTTCCCTGCGCAGAGCAATTATCTACTTAGGGCTACCACCTGCTTCACTAGGCTTAATTACATGCTAGCACGCAGGAATCTGAAGCAAGGTTTTTTTAAGCGCTTACATGCGCTCTGAGCCATGCACATGCCTTCCGCTCTTTGCTCCGGGGTGGTAGCAACGTGCTTGTCTCATGCTGCAGGGAGACGGAGGAGCAGAAGCATCCATCCTCCCGGGGTGCAGGGCAGGAAGCGCCCATAGACACAGCTGTGCCAGGAACAAGCCAGGAGCCAGCCCGCTGTCACCAGCCATTCCCGTCCTTTCCAAACAGGGCTCTAGGCACTCCTGGCTTCCTTACCCCGATGGGGGTGCTCTGCCCTGCGTTCCCCCAGGTGCCAGCAGGCCTTCCCTTACTCACATTTGAGGTGCGGCAGCTCGCGTTGTCTCAGCCAAAGTAAATCCCCATGGGAAGAGCCTGGCTTCTCCCACACGGTCGCTGCACAGTCTGCACCATTCCCCAGTGACCGGGCTAGGCTGCAGCCAGTTCCTCCCCATTTGCCCCGTCTATTGCCAGCCCATTTCAGACAGTCACGAGCTGCCCTGTTGTTTCAGCCCGCATGGAGCCAGAGTGCATTTGCAGACCCACTCCGCCAGCCCAGGCTCAGGCCCAGCAGCCTTCGTTCCCATGCCGTTCCCATGGGACACACGTCCGGCAAAGGCCCCTGCACAGACACTCAAGGTACGTGAGGGACAAGCTGCCAAACCGGCACTCGGCCGTCGGAACAGAACCAGAACCACAGCGCTTCCCTTCCCAAGGCACCCGGCAGTCTGCTCCTTTAGGTGCAGGAGGTTCCCATTTGCCCCCACAGGACCGTTTGGCACCACCACAAGACCGGGCTTTCAAGCTCTAGGCTAGCTTTTCCCCTGATGCCACTCTTGGCTAGGAGCACCACACCTAGCATTGATCTTGGCATCCTAGGTGGAATTTTCCCCCCCTCAAACTGCAGATTTTAAGAATATTTTTCCTGAGTCCAACCCACAGCTCAAAATACCCTGCCCTTGGATAAAATGTTGTGAAAATAAGGCTCCTAAACTGATGTTTTATGCTACATCTTCCTTGCAAATACTCTAAATTATGCAGTAGATCTGTGGGGTGATTTTAGTCTACACGATTTTTTAATTTACATTTTTCATCTGAGCATGGGATTCTTCCTTGCTACTTGTCCCTAACCCTCATGGTACTAGATGCTCTTTAAACAACTGTTCTCCAGCTGAGAAACCGCATCATTTCTGCGATGTGGTAGATGTGTGCTCGGGCAGAAGAGTACCTCTTCATTCCATGGGCTGAGGGAATCAGTCCCATATCCTTTATTTTCACAGGAACTCAGACACTTACAAGTTCAAGTACGAAGCTGCAAGACTCAAGCCAGCAGACAGAGTAAGCCTGTTCTCTCCTCCTTTTCTAGACTGTGAATTCATAGGTACCTGTAAGCCACTGACCGTTGGTGAAGAGGTCATATATATTTCATGTCAGCCAAAACTTTAGCTTTAGAAATATTCACAATCTCCTTTGTATACCAGGTAGAGGCTGATATTTACAGTTATGGACTGACTCAGAACTCTGTATCGCATCATCTTAGTAACATAACTTCTTTTTCGTTTTAGCTGTGGAACAGCAGTTTTAAACAAGGTAAGCCGGACACATGGACAACAGCCATTCCTGAATTCCTGACAGACAGTACGTTTGTTTCTGAGATTTCTGACTGGAATGCAGATCGGTACTAGGCTTCTGCTGCTTTTGTTGGTGAAAAATATGTTCCTGTAGCAAAGAAAGGCATTCTCCCCCAGAGATACCAATTGTTGCTATGCAATAACTACCCTGATTTGCTGTATTATGTGACAAGGACGGCATAACTCCAATAGCGTAAGAAATTACAGAATGTATTTGCATTGCCGCGGGGAGGGGGCAGGAAGGGAACGACAACACAAACATAAAAAGCACTACGTTATGTTTCTAATCTGTTGCATACTAATCAAATTCATGCTGTTAATATCAATTTATTTCAAAATGTTTGAAATTTGTAGGGAGTTTATAAAATGGTTACAACAAATGATCCTATAGTTTTTAATATTTTCTTTTTCAGGAAATAGTGCAACTTTCCAACTACCTGAAAGTAAGTACCAAATATTATAAGCAGCTTTCTAGAAGCAGGTGATGAAGATTAAATGAATGTTTTCTGAAATAAATGGGTGTTGTGTGTCCAGTTTTAATGTGGCAAGAGGAAAAAAAAAAGAAAAAGAAAAAAACACACATAAAATATTGAAACCAAAGCCTCATCTCAAACATACCAAACAGTGAAAATACTGATCTTGAGTTGTAGGAATGAAACTGAATCAAACAGAGAGCACCTGTGACAAACCGCCTTTCCCATTTCGTGTGCAGGAGGCACTGCATCGGGAGCTGTTGCTGAAGCAGAAGATGGTGATTTTGCAAGAGCTTTTCTCCACGCTGCTGCGAGCATCAGAAAAGTCCTGGCAGGTAGCAACCAGATGACTGCACTAAGGGATTCCAGCTGGTGCTGGACTGAGCTTCTGTTTTGGCAGCACCTGGCTTATGTACAGAAGCAAGAACCACCCACATAGATCATTTTATTTTCCATAGCTAATTTCCAATTCTGCCTAATCTTAACTCTTTAGGGGCTTCACGTGCTAGCAGATAAGATGTCTCTATTAACCTTGAGTCTACTTTATCTTCCTCTCATTTCAGTCATCTTTCCTTTTAGGGCTGGTTGAATACAAACTCAGAAATAAGGTTCAGAAATAAGTTTTACTTTGCTTCTGTGTTTTTTTCCCTCTCTCGCCTCTCTCCTTTCTTCATTTTTGTCTACATATTTGATGAAAAGTTTGTTACTAGGTTTATTTTTTTTTCCAGATTAACAGGAAGTATAACTCTCCTCCCACTTTTCTTCAAGGTTTTGGGTTTCCTATACTTGCTTTTTACAGTGTTTCTTAAGTTAAAAGTTCAAAAGTAAAATTAAAGTAAATGGAAGTATGTAAGTGGAAAAGATTGGACTGAACCACAGCAACCATCTTCTACCATCTTTTCTGCCCTAGTGCGGACAAGTTTCAAATATTTTGTCAAAGTGACTTTTTTGGCCAAAATTAAAATTTTAGATGCACATAAAATATTGCAAAAGTTGGGGAGCAGGCACAAAAAGATTTTTTTTTTTTAAACTAAGAGTGCAGTGGCCAAAAGAAACCCAAACCTTGATGATATCTGCTCCTGCTGAGGAAGAACAGCAGAGCACCCTGTGCCCACAGCACTCACAGCTCATGAGACATAGTGCAGTCCCAGACATCATTGGGACTCAGTACTGCAAAGCTCTTGAACATCTACTTACCCTTAAATGCACTGCTGAATCATGGCCCTATATCTGCCTATTTCCCACAGCTCAAACTAAATCCTATCATCAGCACTGACCCAGGGCCCGTATTTTCTTTGCTAGAGATTAGGAGATGAAATTAAGGTGATGCACCTTATGATTCTATTTACAGTGGCACAATGTTTTATATAAGAATATTAAACCAAGTATTAACATACTTGTGATGTTCCATAACAAGTAACTGTGCTAAACAAAAAAAATGGTTTGAAAATGCTTTTCAGAGAAGCAGAAAAGATTGGGTGAAATGATGTAAAAAAAAAATGCTAGATGTACTGCGGTTAGACACTTCCGCCTTTGCTTGCTCCTTCAAATGTAACATGAGCAGGAAAAAACACTGACACAAGCAAGCTGCAGAAAGTAGTCATGAAACCTCAGATTAGAAACAGGTGGGTGCCTTTTGTTTCTTGCTGTCTCTGCTATAGTAAAAAGTCTTTGCTGCTGCTTCTACATTCAGCCTTTCAGAAACTAAAAATTAACTTACTGTTGGCACTGGAGTCAAGGCCAGCAACACAAACTACCTAGCGAGAAGCAGTCCTTTGGGAGCACAGAGAGGGGCTGGGGGGGAAAAGGGTCTCCCTGGGAGCTCACCGAGGCAGCCGTTCTGGTAGAAGTCCTAACGGGCAGCTTATTCCAGGTAGGGAAATCTCCATGCTGTATTGTTTTTGCTAATGCATGAGCTGCTATAATTTTGCCAGCACATTTCTGCTCTCAAGTGCAGGAAGGGCTTAGTGCTCAGTTATGTACTCTGCATGTACATCTGCGCAGAATGTCCATAAAACACTACCACCCTCTTGAAATTAATCTTTGCAAACAGCAGAATAAAGTGTACAGCATGGGACAATTGGGCATAATATACCATACAAGAAGTACTTTTTTTTTTTAAATTGCACCTACATTTTATGAAGATACAGCTTTATTAAGCTGAACCAACAACTGAACTCAAAAGAATGACACTTTTGAACTGTACATTTACGTCTCTACAATTTAAAAGTATTATACCACTCGAGAACCTAGTTTTGCTTAGGTCTAACAGCTATTCTTGTAACGTCAGAAGTCAGGGAGTTACTTATTCAGAGGCTTGACTTTCAAACAGTAGCAAAAAGAGATGATACCAGCATTCTCAACATCAGCAGTGAACAAAGAGTTCAGAGCATGAACTCTTTGCTGGAAATTTTATCCGAATTTGCATACAAGTCTAGTTTCACAAAACTTAAGTAAAAAGCTTGACTAACCATGAGGGAAGATTGTATCAGGAAAAACAACTCATCCTCGTTTTCCTTTATCCCCCTGCCCAGCTGCAAGATGTTGCAATGCAGACCCAGCCTATTTCCTAAGGAAACCAGTAAGACAAGACTTTAGCAGCTGGAGCTTTAGGCAAAAAGTGTTGCAGGGAAAGACAACTATCAAGCAGGAAACAAGACTCTATGCAGGGACAAGACAGCCATGATGCTTAGAACACATTTAGACCAACTTGAAATAACTTTGCTATTAACTTCTCACTCCACTGCAAATACCTGCACTCCTGTAACTGGTGAAACTGCCTCAAGAGAGTTGTTCAATATGCTAAAGCTGTACTTCACCCATACCCTATCTGCTCTGAGATTGTGAAAGTTTATTTGAAAATAAGCAAGTGTTGAAAAACTTTTGATCAAATTTAGCTATAATATATAAAAAGAGGAGAAAGTGAATCAAACCATCAAAATGCTATTTTCAAAGAGGAAATACTGTGCAAGACATGATTCTACACACTTCTCCCCTCCCCCCCCCCCCCCCCCTTTTTTTTTGTTTCCCCCTCTAGGGACAGCTAAATGAAGATAAACTGAAGTGTAAACTCAGGGCACTTGAAAACCAACTGCAAGCCTGCACCCAGGTAACCTAGTTGACTCTGTAAAAATCAAACATGGATTTTAAAAAATGCATAGAAATGAAATATGGACATACAAATCCATCAGGTCTCCGTTGCTAAAAAAAAAAAAAAAAATCTGATTAGCTATGCATCTGAAAACTACTTTTCCTCTTTACTGAAGCAAGGCTTCTCAGCAGATTAGCAGTAGCATTCACATACTGCGAGTCTGCTAATATTCAGGTTTAGCAATTGCAGTAGTATCTGATAAGACCCTTCAAGCAGCTGAATTCTTTGTTTAGAGCTACTCCAAAGAGTGTGTGAAGAAGATCCTCATAGAGATGGAGGACCAAAAGCAGACCTATGAGCAGAAGGCAAAAGAGGCTCTTCAGAAAATGCTTGAGGACAAACTCCAAGCAGAAGAGCAGCTGCAGAACTCTCAGGTAGTAAATGTTTTCTATCTGGCTTTGCTTCAGTCTTGTTTTACAGCCTCATTTCAGTGACAGGAGATTACTAATTTACCATTAGCAACAAAGACGCAAAAACGTTTTGATTCCTGAGCAATGCTTATTCTCACCTCCCCATGAACAACCCGCCGTCGCGGTCAGGCCCTTGTGCCTGTTTTCAGCCTGTCCATCAGGTGGCACCGCATTCCCACACCTTCCATCGTCACACCCGCCAGCTAACACAACCATTGCTGCGGAGGCGAGCAAGCCTCCTGCTTGCTTGCTCCTGCAGGCTGAAACTACGCGCACAGGCCAGGCCCAAATGAAGGAGTTCTGGTTTTGTTTTTTCTCCTTCCTCAGAGTGAGCACACACAGAGCTACACCAAGTGTAATCAAGCACTCTGGTTACATCCCGCTGGTTCAGAGCTTTAACCCAGCCAGTCACTGCCATCCCCCCACGCGTGAGGAGTAACTGCAGGTGTTCCCTTTCCTCCCTAGAGATCCCTGGCAGTCACAAAAGAAGACTGTGCCCTATGGAAAGGCAACTACGATGTGCTAAAGGCTGAATGGACCGAGATGAACAAGGCACACACTGACCTCAGGAACAACCTCCATGTTTTGCAAAGCAAACTGCAAGTATGTTAGTTCTCTTGCAAGGGCAGTATCATTGCCCACAGGAATCCACATATTGTAGAGAAAGAACACAGGTTTAAATCACTTCAAAAAAAATTTAAAAACCACCTTTGATAAAAGAGAAAGAACACAGGTTTAAATCACTTAAAAAAAATTAAAAACCACCTTTGTGGTTTTTGATAAAATTGATAACGCACTGCTGTTACATACAGCCTGATTTCAGGCCCAGATCACCCATTCCCCAAATTGTTCGTTTATAAAGCACTTACCTGCTGTCCTCACACTGCGCCTTTTCCCCCCGGCAGCGTGCAAACACCCAGAACAAGCAGCTCCAACAGGCCCTGGGCAACCTGGAAAATGAACACACAGAACTGTGCATCAGAATCAGCGCCTTGCAGGAGGACAACCAGCTTAAAGCAGAACGCATCAGTGCAATAGAAGGTATCGTGTGGAAAGGGAATGTGAGGCTCATTCCCACGAATGAAGATCAGATACAAAACTTTAAAGAAAATACTTAAAAAAAAAAAAAGTTCTTAAAGACAAGTACACATATACAAAAATAATCTTTATTGAAGTGCATTGCACATCTCAGCTTGCAGAAAGCAAGCCTCTACTCATACACAGCAAATCTTTGGCACGATTAACAAACATTAAACGGATGACAATCCTATTCTCGTAGCATAGTAAAATCCCACTCAAGTGTGCTTGAAAAAGTAATATAATGTATAAAGTACTAGAAAAAAGCTATCATGGGAGCAGTTAACATCTAAAAAGTCATGTTTCCTCACAGGTAAAAGTTCAATATGCCTCCCAACAATGTTAGTGGCACTTTGCATATTTGCAGAAAGCCAAATTTTGCTTACTTGCCTAGAAAGTGAACAGAATTTTGCATCAACATTAGTTTGTTTAATTTCAGGTAAACTACAAAAAGAACAAAACCAGAAGATAATCTTGGAGGCAACAATCAGCCATTTGCATAGTAAGTCATACTCAGAAGTAAGATTTTAATTTTTAAGTTTAAATATAAAAACTATTTTAAAATTCTTTGGTATACCATTGCTCAGCCTTGCCTTGTGCAGCATCTTTCATCTCAGACAATAACAGCATCTTTTTATGTTCACAGATTTGTTGCAGAGTCAGACCAATGAACAGAAAACTCCCGAAGTGGTGGTGCAAAGGAAAGGTCAGCAAATTTTCTAACTCCAATCTAGAACTGGACACAGAAGTGTTAGAATCTAAGAAAACTATTTTTTTTAGCATAGAGTTTTTTTTTTGTTTGTTTTTGTTTTTTTTAAGGTTAAAGTTAAAAAAACACACACAAGAAGCAAGTTATTATATCCTGCTAGCTAACATTAAAATGTAAGTGTATTTGTGATTGCAAATATTTTGGAAAATAAATAATTTCATTAAAAATTTTGTTTCTGATGCTATGCCTTTTTTTAAAATATATATTTATGAGACCGCAATTACAGCCAAAAATAAAGTAATACAATGAGTGTTAACTTTCTGTCCCCCCATATCTGACAACTGCTTAGAAATACTCCTCTCAAAATTATCAATTTGTATCCACAGGAGCGCAGTATGATAACGAATCCAGCTCCTATGACTGCTTCTGTGTTATAGCATGCACATATTATCTCTAAAGTGTGCTAAGTAGAAAAGATATAAACTGAAATGCTGGCTCTGTTTCTCAATAGAAGCCTGATTGTTTTTCTAGATCAGGTTCTCACCACACAGACCCCACCTCTCACTCCTGCCACAGAAAAACAAAATGCTCTATTAGAGCAGCAAGAAAAAGAGGAAGAAAGTCTGAAGAATGAGATGCAGAAAAGGACATCCCAGCTTACAGCAAAGGAGAACGAGGTGAGGTGAAGTCACCTGAAGTCATAGGTGAAATCAAGTTATGCAGCGAGGGAATGAACTGCTATTGTAAATAGCCCAAGAACAGAAACCATGAAAGCTCTTAAGAGCAACCATACCTGCATGTTGTAGCCAACACTAATAAGGGCAACCTTCCCTACAGTTGTATTTAAATACCAACCCCAGCTAAATCCCAGACACAGCATCTGTGACAAAGGCCATAACACCTTCTACCCCTGAAAACAGGGCTGCTGCCTCAGGAGCTACTGGGGAGCTCCCTGCTGCCCAACCCCACTCTGTTCCCAGAGGCTGAAGAGCCTCAACAACCTTCCAGGGAAAAGCAGAGAAGTCACATGATGGCTGATGCACAACCCTAGCACAAAGAAACACAAAAGAAAAATACTTACAAATAACAGGAATGGTCAGTTAACTGCATTAACTATACTCAAGTTCAAAATCTTCTGATGTCTTATGCTTTCTTTCTTACATAAGAGATTGGAAATACAAGTGTGTCCTCAAGCGAGACAGCAGTTGTCCCACAATGTTTTTACCACAGTACTTAGATAGGAGGGAATTATAAAACAAGGATTTATTTCTTACCACAGCAGAGCTTCAAGCCACTACAAGAGACCAGCCTTCCTCCTAACCCAGCAAGTTACAGGGTATTACAGGATATCAGCATCAGCTGTTGCAGGGGGTGGGAAAGCACAATCACAGGAAAAAGAAGCAGCTGTGAGAGGGCCCAGCCACTCCATGCCCCTCGCAGCACCTGCTGAGGCTTCTCCCACTGCGGCAGGGCAGTAGCTAACAGAAGGGCCTTTTCTCACCACGTTCCCCCTAATGCTCAAGCTCTGCTCTGTCCTCCTACATTACAGTGCCCGTGCACTGGGATGCGACGCTCTGCAACCGCCTCATGAGATGTGGCAATCTCAGTGCATCCAAGGTGGACAGGATCAGTTTTCCTAACACGCCCTTCCTTTGTGTGCAGTGCACAGAGCTGCGCCTGGAGCTGGAGGCCCTCAGCGACGAGTACCGCTCCTGCCTGACCAAGCTACGCCAGTGCCGAGATGAACTGAATCAATGCCACAGCAAACAGGCAAAAGTAGGGGGAGACCCTGTCCTGGGCCACAATCACTGCTGCAAACAGTGCAAGTCCCTTCGGACTGCAGATGGGTCTGGGAAAAATTGTTTCTCATTTATTTGGGTGGTGTAGAAAGATGAAGGAATGTCTATTACAGATGGAATGTTTTTTCTGCCTGCTGCTGCCCAGTAACACTCCCTTCTCTTTTCCAGAGACAGCCTGGGAGCTGGATCCCTCTCTTGGTAGTGGTAGTAGCAATGGCCATGGCAGCTTTCCTAGCAAATTATGCACCATAAAGAGCCTTTACCACTACCTCACTTCAGGAACTGACTTCTGCTTTAAACACAACAGCAACAAGCCCTGGCTGCAATGCATTCCACAGGTTTTATACTTGGTTTATACTTTGAGCTGGTCTCACTCCAAACGAACTCCCACGGTTCTAATAAATGCTGTGAGGTTATTCCTTCCTCTTTGCTGGTTTGTTTATTCTTTCTTTAATTGAAGGTGGCGTTGCCCATTCTCTGGCTGTAGCGATGGGCAACAGCCACTTAAATTACCCCTTTGAGGACTGAGACAGGAAGGACAGGTCACAAGGAGGCTCTGTGTCATCTCTCCTACCTCCAGCAGTTCCTACTTAACCAGATTTGACTCCTTGCTCTTCCCAGCTCGTGTGGTGGCATCTCCCTGGGCTTGCCCACTTTCCTTTCTTTCTTAGCACCACATTAGTTCAACAAATACTACTTTTTAAGCTTCTTCCAGAGTTGTGGGGTGCTTTTATGGTAGCACTCCACATTTGCACACACAGCTATAAGGAAGTATATGCACTACATCACACATGTAATAAATGTAAGATGGCCTATAAACTTCATGTATCCAAAATAATAAAGTGTCACAAATTTATTAATCTTCAGTGGTTCACAATAAATATCCTCCTTTTACAGAAGCGGAGACACACGAATTGACTCAGTAGGAAAAAAAGGAGCAGAAAGCCATGACTTCCAGTGTCCTGCACTAGAATTCCCCCTTCAAAGTAATACCCTCCAAGGTATTACTTTACCTTGCAAGCAAGGGATGTCTTGGAGTGCTGGTGCAAAAGGATCACAAAAAAAGGCTACAGTCAAGATCCAGAGTGTAAAGTAGTCTCATATACTGAACTTTTAGGAAATGCACATATTTAATTTGCAAAAGGCCTAAGAGGTCAGAGGACGAAGACAGCTATATTTATTCTTGCGTGCTTTGGTTTATGTTGAGGGGAGGTGAAGATCTACAGTTTCAGGAGCTTCCTGAAATAAATTCAGGGGGGTGCTCACCACTCAGGTGGGACCTCAGTCCCCAATACAGGTGAGAAACAGATGAAGCAACTTAGTCTCATAAGGCAACCGCTGAAAGAGTAACCACCTCACTTGAAATGCAGAGATTCGCAAAATCATTCTGAGAACTGAAACTGTTCTTCAAGTTGTCACACCAGGCATCCACCACCTCCTTCACCTCTGGATAGAGGTTTTCCGGGATGCTGAAGGAATAAATTTGGATCGTGAGGTTGTCTCGTATCCTGGGGCAAGAGGCCTGAACGGTGAAAACTCTCAGTGGCGTCAACGCCAAGCAGTTCTCGAAGCCATCCTCCACTGCAAAGGTGTAGGCAAGTGGGTAGCCCAGGACAACTCCAAAGACAGTGCAGAGGTTCCAGCCAGGTGAAAACTCTCAGTGGCGTCAACGCCAAGCAGTTCTCGAAGCCATCCTCCACTGCAAAGGTGTAGGCAAGTGGGTAGCCCAGGACAACTCCAAAGACAGTGCAGAGGTTCCAGTCGTCAGAGCAAACCTCACTGCAAGATACGGGGCC